ATCATGCCCCCCAAAAACTCCGGTTAATTCGGGGTGTAAATAGAAAATCTCAACAGTCGTATGGTAGTGTGAACGCAAGAGTATAGCGTACTCCTGCCGCACGCTAGCTTGAACTATATAGATATGTGTGTTTGGTTCGGGTTGGCGCACACCAAATATTAGTGTTTTGGTTGACAAATTTTTACATAAATTCTAAATGGGACGTGACAGCGCCATAATTTATGATTAGAAAACCGAAGCATCACAAGTGAGTGTGCTAAATATTGAAAATTTTCAATAAAGACATTAAAAACTTTGTTATGAATAAGAACACAGAATAATTAAAAGATCCAAAATAATTTAATCATATAAATAAGTTAATTAATATAAATTATAAAATAAATTTCTTCGGCAACGAGTCGGGTAAAAAAGCTAGTTGGCCATCCAAAAGAAGAAGAAAAATGAAATCTTTAAATATTTAAAGAAATACGTTGAAAAATGGTAAATTGGTAGATCTCTCAACAAAATTCCTCGATTTTAAAACCTAAACAAAAGTTAAGTCTTTGATTTCGAACAAGTTAACCCTCTCTGTTCCTTCGCATATCTCTAGTGGCCATTTTCTCCCCATACCTCCCAAGCACATCAGCCAAATCAACCAATCCAACCTCCCTCAACTTCTTCGCCGTCTCCAAGAACAGAACAACTCCTTCCTCGTTGGAGAAGTAGTGGAGAAACTTGTTGTAATCAAACCTCGGAACTTCCATCCCGCCATTCAGTATCCTCTCAACATACTTGGTAGCTTCCAGCGACTTCCCAGCTTTCACCAACCCGCCAACGAAAATGGTGTCGAAGTTCACAGTCGAGTCAGGACCCTTCCGCCCTCTCTTCCCCAAGTGGCCTTGCAGCAGCATCACGTACGTATGCATTATGGGCTCACAACCTCTGTTTATCATTTCCCTGAAGACTTCTGTTGCTTCTCTGGGTCTTTTCGAGCTCAGCAGCCCTTTGATCAGTCCGTGGTAGATGGCTATGTCCGGTTTCTCGATCTGTTGCAGGACTCTCTGGGCCTCGTTCACTCGGCCTCTCGATGACAGCCCGAAGAGAAGGGATCCCAACGTTGCGCAATCGGGTTGAATTCCTCTCTGCCGCATTTCGTCGAACAGTTGTTGTGCTTGGCTGAGCTTGCCCTTCTTGCAGAACCATGAAATGACGAGGTTGTAAGTCGAGAGTCCTAGTTCTTCCATCCTGTTAACTCGTAGGGTTTGGAACACTTTCACGGCTTCAGTGTCCTCGTTCTTCTTGAAGAACGTCTCGATCATTTTCTCGAACACTTGGATCTCCGGATCGAACCCATCCTCCACCATTAAATTCCAGACCTTGGACGCTTCAATCATGTCGCCGATGTCGCAGAATCCTTTAATCAGGCACCCGTAAGTGAACCCATCTGGGGGAATGGTGTCCTTAAGCTTCAAAGTCACGTACATGGCCTCCTCCATGAGCCCATCTCGACACAGAGCCTCCACGACCTTGTTCAACCTCCGCAAGCTGTATTCAACCCCTGAATCATTCATCAGGTGGAAAAACTGCACGCACTTCTTCAGCTCCCTCGCGGAGGCCAGAGTTCTGAGAACAATCACGAACGTTCTGTCGCTCACCAACCCCAATTGGCCTGCCTGCTGAGCCGTTTCCCAGAGCAGATCCATGTTTCTCGCCTTGCCGTAGACATCGAGCATCTTATTGAAGGAGACGGAGGTGTGGGCGAAATTATTATGTAGGGAAGGTGTTTGCTGAATGTACTGAAAGAAGCGGTGGACAGGACGCCAGGAGAAAGGGAACTTGTTGCACACTTGGAGGAAGAACTCGTGGGTGAGCTGGAAGTCGCAGGTAGAGAGCTTGGATCGGAGCTTGGAGTCTGGAAAGGTTTGTTGTTGAAAGAGGATGGTGCAGACTCGAAGGAGGTGCTCTGGGTTAACTGGCGTTGGTTGCAGCGGCAGCGGCGGAGGTTGGTGTTGTTGGGCTATTGATTCGGCGGTGAGGAGACGATGGAGGGAGGAGAAGACACGGCGGTGGCGTTGGTTGAAGAGAGGTCTGAGGATCATTCTGCTTATGGTGGTCATTCTGGAACAAAACACCCTGCCGCAGCATCCAAACTTCTCCTCCTCTCGGCTCTCAGCCAAACAAGAACAAAGGCAAGTAGGCAACGAAGAATGCAACATATTACTACCAAATAAGAACAGGACCCCACCCAATTGAAATTCACAGACAACAATTGAAATTATGAAACAAGAAAACTTGGAAACCTACCTGTGTTATGCGAACAGTGGCTGCTGCGGAGGTTGGATTCGAAAGAGGAGGTCGGAGTTGGAGATTCGTCGGCAAACAACTGGTCTGCCGTCGCCGTTGCCTGATGGAGCCTTGGAGGAGCAGCCGAGCAGATGCTCGAGTGGCGCTGGCCTCTGGGAGCTGATTTCGGGAGTGCGGCTGTGCGAGGGCGGTGAAAAGTCGGAAATCAAAAGGGATTTCTTTGGTCTCGGGCCTCTCGGCTGATGTAGGGGTGTCCCGATATAGTTAATTAATTTTTAACTGTCTGGCCAATTTAAGTTTTGATTAATAAATATGTTTCGAAATAATGACAAGAAGTCGGATGTAGCCCAGCGGACAACTTTAACACTAACAATTGCAGTGTCTTGAGTTCGAATCCCACCAATTACATGTGTATTTTTTTTTTTGCCATACAAATTCTACTACCGGGAGTTCGATAATTTTTTCCCCAAATTTTAGGGGTGTCTCCATAAATCCGCCCCTGTGGTGGTGGGAGAGTGAGAAAAGAGTCTGAAAGTTTAGTCCTTTATTGGCTTAGCTTAAGACCGGTTAAAAGAAATAGAAAACATGATTGGGAAATTGTACCGAGGCGGTATTGGAAAAGTTTTAAGTATAAAACTGTTTGTATTGAACTATAGTAAGGTTGTTAAATCGGTTTAAGTAACTGAGTCGGTCAAGTAAGGAATTTGAGATGTATTGATCTGATTGGGGTCCGGTCGGTTTTAGTCGGTTTAGATGTTTTCTAAATATATATACAAATAAGGTAGTAATTAAAGATTTCATGAATGAAATAAAATTTCCACAAAATAAGTCTACCTAACCTTCATGACTCACTCACCATCTCCTTCCTTCGTTCCTCTTCCTCTCTTCTTCTCCCTCTTTAGGAGTCAAACCGAAAGGTTTTCTGGAAGCCGTTTTGAAGCTCGGCTCGGGTCCAATCGGTCGAACCGAGGGTTCGATAGGGGGTTTAACAACCTTGAACTATAGCTTAATTAGGATTCAGTCGTTTCCTATCGCTTAATTTGCTTATCAATTTATGTCCAATAGGAGATTTTTTCACAAATACAAGAAAATCATGGTTCTAAAAAGCGTGCTTAGGTACTCGTCTAAACTCGCCTAGGAACAAGTCGGAAGGAAAACACCTCGCATCGACAAAAAAGCAGCGGAGAAGGCGTCACAATTACATTGTGGCTTCGGTAGCCTCTGGCCAGCTTTGAGTCGTGTCTCAAAATGATGTCATGATGTTTTTTTTCTCTATCTTTTGATATGCTAGGATATAGTTAGAGACCACAATATTTACAGTAGCTTCCTCTTTCTTTTTTGCGCTACTTCGTCTCAATATGTTTCGCTATATTCAAGCTTCTTTTTCCTTACTCATTTCTCCACACTACGTTTTATATTTTACCATGAGTGTTGATGCAAGTTTAGAAATGAATGGTAGATGCGATAGTATTTGGTTCATAAACTTGTGATTCTAGACAGGTATGTGATATTATGTTACATTTACATCTAGGAGTTGTTTGCTCGATGGACTTGGTGATGGACTTGGTAATAGATTTGGATCCATCATGAACTTTGTCCAAAATCCATTGTTTGCTTCGTGTATTTTGGAGCAAAAAAACTGTGGGTCCCATGAATTTTAAGGGTGCAAATCAGTGGACCCCACGGACTTGAAAGTCCCACCACTTGATGAGGGAGTTGATTATGGACTTTGAAGTCCATCGCCTATGTTTGGCACGTCTTTTAGAAGTGTTTTTCGGTTTCAAAAGATGAAGCAGGGCCAAACACCTTTAAAAGTTTGGCTTTTGAAAAGCCTAAAAGCGATTTTGTATAACATAAAAGCAGAAGCTCCGATTTGGAGCTTCTGCGAAAAGCTGTTTAGAAAATACAAGATTATCCTTACCATATTTAAATTTATTTCATTTATATCTTTTTATACAATAAAATAAAGTATAAATTCATATTATTTAATATAAAAGAAGTATAACAAGATCTATTTTGACTATTTTATTGTTTAGAATTATTATTCATAGTTTATATTATAAGTCCTTTATAGTCATTTTACACAACCTCTCATATTAAAAAACACTTTTAATAAATTTTCAACCAAACACTCAACTGCTTTTTTTTGAAAAGTACTTCTCTAAAAGCTCAAGCCAGAAGCTGCTTCTACAAAACCTACAACAGGGCCAAACTGAGCGATCATTTAAGACCAAACTACTCCTCATATTTGATTTCTCTTCTCGTAGCAATGTGGGCAATAAAGGTAAATTTCACTTCATATATACAAATCTAATTAATCAATTCCATCATGTAATCTATGAAACAAACAATTGTATTTTTCAAGCCCATAATGGACCCAATACCCTTATATATATGCATAATTTTACAAAACGCAAATTTTACCAAAACCTTCATTTTTCAAATTTACGAAGCAAACAACCGCTAATGCTTAGACACGCTACACAACGCCTAGACATACTGGTTGTCCTTTGGAATGCCCTTTTCCTCCATCTGGTAATGTAGTCAGAGAAGGCCTCGGTTAGGTTGCAAATTGGCGCAAGGCAAAGCCTTGAACCTTGGGGAAAACACCAGAAAAAAAGGCTCTGGAAAAGGTGCATTGGTGATGAGTGATGACGGTTCAACCGGTTAACCTAAGCACTAGATATTTATTGGAACGGTCTAGTTCAGAAGAACGGGTAATTGATTGACAATACGAATATCACCAAAACTGAGAGCTTCCTTTGAAGCTTCAAAAGATCAATCAATAAGACAATGGATCCTTGAATAAGCTATCCAGAGAACTGGAGATCCAGATTCTCAACTATACCAACATCAGCAAAACTGAGAGTTATGAATCAATTGGCCCTCATGGTTCTTTTACTTGCTCAAAGTGAGACATGGACACCAACAGTGGAATTGGTCAATATGATATCTTTCGTGTTATCGGGTGCCTTAGGGTGATTAGGGCATTCTATTCTTATTCTGACATGCAGTGGTTTCACAAAGACGAGGTCTCTCAAATCCTTTCCTGATCTAGACAAGAGCTGAATGCATGAATCTCTTGTGGTTAAGCCGTGACTACCCCATTTTAGGATATCAGCTATCCTCGCTGCATGTTTATCCTGGTTATCTTCTTCGTCTACATTCGCATCTCTTCTGAGTCTCAGATACAGTGGTGCATATATGATCACCTGGAAATCAAAAGTGTGACCATTAAGCTTCAGGCAGACAAGTTAGGCATCCTGGTGTAGTGTTCATATCACAGTAGGACAAGGAATATTTAGGTACTAATGATAGTGTCGTAGAAACTCATCAACCTAAAGGATTTTGCCATTTGGTTCAGACGGATTTTTAGTGGGTTCGGTTGGTATTTGGATGTAGAAACAATAAGGTAGTTACCTCACTCAAGCCAGGGCTCGTATTAACTGCACAATGAATCCGAACTTTGTCGTCCTCAAAATTCCTAGTGTCTGCAGTTGTGCTATCATCATCTTCCACAATTGTCTCTGATTCAGCAGCCGATGAAAATGCCAGATTATCGAGTTCATCATACCACTTCTGGGCAACACCAACCTGTATGCAAGCCATAAAAGCAGGAACTTCTAAGAGACCCAGTATAAAAGGAACAACGAATGATGAGATGAGGAAAGAAGACAACAGATAAGGACAATCAACCTTTTCCGAAGATTCCAGTTCAGCATTTGTTCCTGAGACTTCAGTAGCAGCTCCTCTTGCCTGACGCCAGATACATCCCTCATGCAATGGTTCGACCAGTTCAGTATCTATTGGAATGTCGACCTTTATATCTATGTCTGTCCTGCCTGGTACACAGAGAAAAAAACATGCAAGCACAACATCCACTTAATTAGATATATTGTATGATATCATTTCAGAACAAAGAAATATATATTAATCAATGGTAAGTACATAAACCTGGCAATTGGTTGAAGTGTTGAAGATGATCAGTCCACAACTCATGAGTTGGAGAACTGCAACTCAGCCAGAAAATAAGCATCGTCAGCAGGTAAAGAGTGAGCAGTTTTTTTCTTCATTAATGATATTTAAATAAATGCTCTAGTGTAATAAGAGCATTCAGTGTCTCCATACTTACAGGGAATATATCCTCTCCAGTGGGAAGGAGCACCAGTAGGGTAGTCCAAGGATCCTGTAATTCACCAACTGAAACATGGAGCAGGCTCTAGTTTCTCTATTCATTTTCACCACCTTCTGTGCAGCTTCAATCAAAGTAGGGGAAGAAATTTTGAAAGACCACAACGGCATAAAACAAGATAGGAGTAACGTACGAATAGCTGCTTACTTGTATCACAAGCAAACACGTGGCCGTTGAAAGCTGTAAGTGATGATATGAGGGTAGCATACAAGGTATCTTTACTTGACAAGTAAGTACCAGCCTGCTGTTCCAACCAATCACTTGGCATTTCCTTCAAGAGAGATAATTTATCTGTGATCAAATTTCCACAGGTATCTCGAATCTTTTGGAATCCTTCAGACACAAAAGAAGTTAATGTTAGACAAACATACTAAATACAGGACAACTAAGCTAGGGTAAGGTTTTCAAACCTTTGATAACATCTTTTATCTCTCCAGTGGTCAGATTCATTACCCATAGTGTCTCAAAGCTGCTCATTAGAAACAAAAACAAAACCTTTTTTATGTTCTTCTGAGACATAATTAAAGCAAGCATCTGAAATTAAGATCATAAAGTAGAAACGTTGGCACCAAACTTAAGAAGACTTGGTAGTTGGTACATATATGAAGATATCTACCTCCGGTTAATGATTAAGCAGTGATCCTCCTCTTCTGACTTCAATAGATGCCAAGGAAACACTAAAGACTGGGGATCAAACTCTTCGGATTTAGCTTCAACAGCAGCGATTCCAAAGCCCAGTTTACTTGCGATCTTTGTCCATAGACTTTCCTTTTCTACAGTAGCACTAGAAGAAGGATATAACGTCTCTAGAACCCGTCTCTCCAAGTCAGCTCTCCTGACTGCATGGTTCTTCGCAAATGAAATACACAAACAACGATAAATGATATAAGTAGATATATATTAACACATTGAAACTTACAAAATTGATATTCTGACGAATTCCAATTCCAAAAGAGACCTCATGCATACCTCTAAGTCTACGAAATACAGACAATCCTCAGTGTCATCATAAAAGGAAGCTCCAGGGCGCAATAGCTTGGCACACTCAAAGTCTCCATCCTCAAAACCTGGAGAAGAACCAATCTGACACATAAAACTCGTAAGTTAAAAAGTATTATCACTTTTCTCAGGTGTTAAAAGCAAAACACAACAGAATTGAGAAAGTAAATAGGCACCACAAAATATAAACTAGTATGAAGGTGATTTTAGAGTATCAATTATTCAACACTTTTAGCTGCAAAGAGAAGTGTTGAGGATACGGTGGAAGACATCACATGACACATAAACCAAATATATTGAAGTTATCAAATTCATTACTTACACAGTCAAGAATACTTCCATTACCATCAGAAATGATGATACGGTGATGATTGGAGTCAGAAAAGAATAGCCGACTGCCACTTATATCTGCAGATATACAGCCTGCAGAAAACCGGGAGGGAAACTTGTTGAGAAAACACGAACAACTTCTCTTAAAAATTTATATTAACAAAGTTATCTACTAGAATTTATACGCATCTTGTTGAACATAAAGTTCACCAACTATGCAGTCTGCCAAGACTACAGGCTGAGAACATGCAGTAGGACCAAAAATCTTAGGCAAACCACATAGATCCCAGGGATACTTTACCTGGGAAATAGAGAAGCAAGTTTTGAATAGGTGAAACAGTGTATGGTTCCTTCACAGCATCAGCTAGTTTTGTCCAAGTGCTTTTCAAACAAGCCATACTGGAGTTTCCATCACCAGGATTCTGTTTTTGTAGTACTTGCATCTCCTCTACCACTGGAGAAGGTTCGAAAAGACAAAACGAATATAAAAGTAATCATATGAGTATTTGTAGGAGTTTCTATCAATTTGATGTAGCTCTTCAGTTGCCCCCTAACCATATGCAACAAACTGTACCCATTTCAAAGAATGATACTTCTAAGAGGGGAATAGTAATGACAAATAGGTCATGCTAGAAGGCAAGCTTTATCTAAATGCACATAATGTGAGAATGACAAAGAAATCAAACTTCAACTAACCAAGACAAAGACACCGCAATACCTGCATAAAGTGTTCCAATATCCAGATCCTTTTCATGCTGAACTAGAGGATTCTCGGAGTCTCTGAACATAATGTAGCAGGCTCCGTTTTCCATCTAAATAAAACAGAACATTCTTTTAATACTATTTAGAGATTACCAAAAATCGCCCTAATGGCATTATCAATCAGTAGACATTTCCTTTCACTCCACTAAAGCACCAAGTATTTCTTCCAAATGCATTAGTGGAGTTCCTTTCAAACCACACCATTTTTATCAGCACTGAGACTTGCCCAATCCCATATTTAGACATGACAGTCAAAGGCAAAACAACCATTCTTAGCTTTACTGACAGTGAATCCTAGGGTGGTTCTGAGAAGCTCAAGCTATAGTAACACTACAGTTCACAGCTGTTCTATGATGAACTTTATTACCTTACCTCTGCGAAGTTCTTGTTTGACAACAGAATGGGGAAGGTGATGTATTCTTTCATTATCAAGTCAATAACATGATCTCGATCAGCAGCGAAGCTAGCAGAACTCCCGGTATGAAGGCCCAAAACACAAAGTTCGGAGAATCTGGAACATAGAAGGGAGAAGATCCTCAAATTGAACAAACCTAACAATGCAACTGTTTAAATCAATACTGAAAGAAACACAAGTGGAAATTGGAAACTCGATCTCTACCTCTGCTGAAGCAACTTCACTTTTTCAAGCATGGCAATTATTTCAGAATCCTGGAAGAACTGTCCAGCGAGGATTAAAAATGTCCCATTTCTCTTCAAGAAGGGTTTATCTCCTTCATATACATTTAACCAAACATGATTTGGGCCTGCAAAATCCATTTTGAAACCATATCAATGACATCATCTATCAACTAGCCAAGTGGACCTGAATCCATGCGTAAGACTAAAACTTGCATATAAGCAGTCTAAACTTGGGCAACAACCTTCATGCTCATCGGCAATGGATCGAACAAAGGAGACCACGTCATCATCTGCTGCAGGTGCAGGAATACTAGTAGATGCTTCTTCTGATGCTGTCGAGTACCTGGAGATCACTGCCATTCATAAGTCAGGCAAAGTACGTAAAGAAAACACAGTGGTCTCAAACAAAAGAGCTTACAGAACGTCCCATTCCGCTGAGCAATTACCTCTGAGAATAAGAGAAGTTCCACCAAAATATTCCTGGGTAGTTGGTGGTTCTAAGAAATGAACGAAATGGGGCGACTGAAGTTGAGACAGAGTAACCTCTTCTGGCTTCTCCGCTCTGCCCTAAGTATATTCCTAGCAACAAAAGTTACGTAATTGAAGTTCACCAATTTGACCAGTAGGGATAGCTATCGAAACAACAAAGGAATTCAACCAAGGCAAAATGGGCTACCAGAAGAAATGCGCCAGGAAAACCTTGAAAGTTGTCTCAAGCTTCTACATCTCTGCATCATTTCGCCTTCTTTTGGTTTCGTTCCGCTCGTGTTCTTCCCGCGTCAGCCAAATAGTTTCTTAGTAGAGAGCTTGAGATGGAGTTAGGTTGCGAAACTGAAAGGCGACACGGGTTTGAAGAAGAAGAAGCATTGGCGGGGATGGAAGGGCGAGTTCTTAGCATGGTAAAGGAAACCGTACCGGACATCATACCGGATCCGTCTGTGGTAGGATATTTTGTGGTACAACCGTGGTTCAACCGTTATGTACCGGTAAAATATCGTTTTTGTAATTAAATAATTGTTTTTGTTAAAAAACCGTATCGGCAGATTCAGGATACCGTCTCGGAGTAATACCATAATAAAACCGGAATATACTGGATTACAAACCTAAATAAACTAATAGGTTATGAACTCCATTGCATAATTGACCACTTACGAGCTTACATTTACATATATCACAAACGTCACTTTTAGATTGCTTGTCAACTCGGAAATAACAAGATATTATACTTCTAATCAAGATCAAAACATGTTGTGTTAGATTAACTTTTGAACAATTGACTAATTACACCGTCAAGAATAGAGTGAAATCGAGGTCTCTATAAACAGAGACCCAATGGAGCGTTTCCCGCATATACCATTCCATTTACGAAATCAATGATGGTAGAAACCAATTCCCCATTAAAGCTCGCAGCGACTGCGTTTCCCGCATCCACCAAATATTGAAGAAAAAAACTGAATTGTGTAATAAAATCAGTCAAAAGCATGAAACAAGGGAGGGAGACTCGACCAGTTCCTTACCTTGAGTTTGAACTCGCGTTATTGAGAAGGTCGACGCGTTCTTTGTCTTCTTGAGCAGCAACCAGCAGAAGAGGGAGACTCGAGCAAGCCCGCGCGTTCTTAAGCAGGTCGAGCAGCGGCGCGACTGAGGAGAGAACTTGGCGAGCAGCAGCGTCCTTGACCAAACCCAGACCTCACCTCAAACGAGGAAGGATCTCAGGCAATAGGAGCGGCGCAACGCAGGGATCGGCGCAGCGAGCGCTAGTAGCCAGAGAAGAAAAATAAACGAGCGGCGGAGCGGCGGACACGGGGGGCCTCCTTGCTTTCAACGTCGGGGTTCGCGGATCGCCGGTCGCGGATCGCCAAACGCAGTCGCCATACGGGACGACCAGAGAAGAAGAGGAGAAGCGGCCGGCGGGGCTACGCTGGGGAAGAAAAATGCGACGAGAGGAAGAAAGACCGTCGAACCGAAAGGGTTCCCAAGAGCCAAATTAGGTTTTGCATCTCTGGCCTTTGGCCGATTTGTTTTTTTTTTTTTTTTTTTGAATTTAAGTACAAAACGTCGCTGTTTCCCCCTCCTTTAAGCCTACCGCCGGTCAGACCAAAGCCGGGCGGTTTTTCGTTTTGTACCGGTAAAACCGGCCGGTCCGATATTCTACTACTAACCAGCCTACCGTATCGCTATTGGTCCGGTTCTCGGTTTTTCCGGTTGAACTGGCCGGTACGATCCAATTTCCTGGTCCTTGATTCCTAGAGAGTTGCGGCGGCGTGCGATGGCGGCCGGAAGGGGAGTCCAAAGGAAGTCCAAAGAAAAACCAGCGCCAAATAGGGAGAGAACGAAAGCAAGGAAGGAAGCTTGGAAGGCCGTAGTAGGCCCAAACTGCTTTGTCAGAAGTTGGCCTGGTCCGTTCAATTAAAGGAAAATTCATAGGCAAAACTTTGATGGTTGTGACAATAATAATTTTTTTAAGAAAATAACAATTATAACCAAAAATTTGAAAGTTTGATGACAACAATAGCCATTTCTGTTACATAGATGGACGACGTCAGTGACACCGTTAGACAAACTAATAGAATGATGATTTGGCTGCCAACTCACCTGACACATCATTGACAACTCACCAACACTTGCCACATATACGTGACACGTCAGATTTTATTTAAAAATATTCAATTAATTTATTAACAAAAAAATCATCTATAAACTAAAATTAAATTAACTAATGAAAATAAAAAAAATAATTAATGAGTTTTTCGGTAATCTTTTACTTGTATTAAGCTTTCAAAAATTATAAAAACTAAAATAGTAAAATTTAAAATATCATCTCTTTTTCACCTTCATCTCCGAGACCCTTCCCCTCCCCCAACTTGCCGCCTCTAAATCCCTAAACACCTCCGCCCATTGCCAACATGTAACTGTAATTTCTTCTTCATATTTGTTGAGCTTAAGGGCTATGAAGCCCCCAGAGGAATGATGAACCCAAATCCCATCCCAATTCGACATTGTCTCAGCGAGCTTACGGTTATTCACCTGCGACGAGGAGGGATGGTGGTCAAACAGCGGTTAGATTTCGAAGGGGAAATGCGACGACGAGGGAAGAAAACCTAGATTCAGGTGACCATCGTGACTGCTTTTTCTTCTAGATCTGGTCCTTTGCTCGCCGGCCGCATCTCGTCACAGTTGAGTTGGAGAGCCTCCCACCAACGAAATTGAAAAGAGCTCATCAAGCTTCACGGCGACGCTAGAGATCTGATGGGGATCATTGTGGATTAACGGCGGCTGGTTCTGCGGGAGATTATGGGTGGCGATTTTATAGATTGGAGAGGGAAGGGGAAGGGTCTTCGCGAAAGACGGCGGGGATGTTGCTGAAGATTATGGGACAGCATTAATACGTTTTGGAGTAGCGGTCGAACAAGAAGCCGCTGGGGGAGAGATTGTTGTGACGCCGAGGAAGAGCAAGAATAGGAATTTGGAGTAGCGGTGGAGCAAGAGTTGCCGCTAGGGGAGAGTGACGATAGGGGTGGGCAATGAAAAACGGGTATTTGGGTATACCCATACCCGTCCCGTTATTTGAGGGTTACGGGTACCCAAATATCCGTGTTATTGTTAACGGGATGGGACTTGGGATCAGTGATTTCTACAACGGGTACCCACGGGTTACCCATTAATACCCGTTTGGGTAATCCGGGTACCCGTAATACTCGTTAGTAAAAATCCTACAATAGATATACATACAACAAGAACGACAATATCATCGATAGCTTCATATATCGTGGCAACAAAATCAACAACACATCAACACAAGAAGATTTTAACCAATCACATCACAAAATAAAAATTAAGAGCACTTAAAGGTTTGGGGTTTCTTATGTGGAATGAAAGGAACAAGGTGTTGGAGTATCTAGCGTTTGTGGGTCATTTAGTGGCAAGCTCGGACAAAGACCAACCCACTATAACTGTCACGGGCTTCCTACTAGTAGCATTTCCCACCCATAAATTCTGAACCTCAACCTCATAGTAATTGTGAGCTTGTTCCTCTGATTCAGACGATATATATTAAGACTTTCGGATGCTCACACAATCAGGCAAGTTATTATGTTCTCTTTTCGTTTGAATTCATCAATAAGTTTAACTTCATACGATCAGATTACTATGTCTGGAGGCTGAAATGTTTCAGTTTACAATTTGGTTGTTGTATATTCGCTCTATATATAGAACTTTTCCCTTCTCAATTAAACGGGTATGTACGGGTAGTTTGGGTACCCGTTATCCATCCCGTACGGGTAACGAGTACCCGTTAATCATATGGGTTTGAGATATGGGATGAACTTTGCTCTCCAAATGGGAGTGGGTACCCGTTTCAAACGGGACGGGTATCCCGTCCACACCGTTGCCCATCCCTAAGTGACGGGGAAAGAAGAGAGTGAAAATAAAAAGAGTTTGTGTGTTGTTACGGAAGGGAGGGGTTGGGTTTATTAAATTTGTTTTTCTTTATTTTTTATTAATCTACTTGGCAGTGTCCTTGATGCAATATTGTCAAATCAGCATTTCTGTTTGTCCAGTCAGCTCGTTAGATGACACCGTCAAAATATTTGACGGAAGTGGCTATAAGTGGTATTTCTTCAAAATTTGCTATTATTGTCATAAGCACAAAAGTTTTGGCTATAGAAGTGTATTTTGCCTTTAATTGAAGGGGGGAAAAAACATAAGATACGACGTCGTTTCCATCTCTATGGTCGGTTAATCAAAATCCCGAATTAGGGTAAGAAAAACCAAAATAGCTTTCAAAGAGCTTCTGAAACAGTCGGTTGGAAGATATACCGCTGAAATCTGTGCTGAGAACAGGAGAAATTTCCGGTACAAATTATCAGAGAGAGGTATCGGACGAGCTCGTCGCCGGCAAATCCAAGCTCGAAATCTCGAGTGAACGAGGCGCTTGAAGGGAGAAGGAGACGTAGAGAAACAATTCAGCGGAGGAGGCACAACTGAGACGGGAGTCGCGGCGGCGTGCGAGGGCGGCCGAAGAGCGGAGTCGGAGATTCCAACTTTGTCCTCGATTCATCCTTATTTTTTGCCCGCGGCGGAAGAAATGCCTCACCCGGAGCTTAAAACTGAGGACGAGCAGGCTGTAATCGTGTGCTAATAAGTGGAAGAAGAAAGACCTAGTGGCTGGCCATTGCAAGGTTAGTCCATTCGTTGCTATCTTCACTATTGAACGCTTTAACTCCATTTCTTTCATTTTTTGAATTAAATTTCTGCTTCTGACTATAGTTTGCTAGTTATCAGTGTTCTGTTACCTTCGAATCGTTTTTTTTAATGAATTGTTGCTTAGTTTAATTCATCAAAAGGGAGTTCATCCATAAGTAATGGACTTGCTCCAATGATAAAGTACAATAGAGGTGGCTGAAGGTACATATGCAAACACTAGAAACAAGTTGTCATGGTGGCTCAAATGGATTTTGGCTTGTGCCATACAACATCAAATGTAGGGATTGAAGTTCTTGTTGAGATAGTTTGTTGCTACTATCCAACCATGAGCAAATGATGTAGTTGATTCTGTTGGATAGAGTGGCGCTGCTTGTGTAGTGATCACGACTCACGAAAGAGTCAAGCATTCCACTCAGTCCATAATAACCAGAACATAGCATTTGGAAGTGGGTGGAAAGCATTTGACAATCTGCAACCTTTGGTGACGTTTGACCATTGAACTAGTAGCTCGCTGCAACTATGAGGTAGAGGGACAGCAAGATTGAGTCGAAAGAGAGAAAAGTTCCGTACCCTGGAAGAGTAGCTGCAGGGGAGAAGTAAGTGGTATGCTGTCTCTTCTGAAGCAAATCAAAGACAACAATGATTGGGGAGAATCCACCCTCGTAATAGAAATTGAACGGTTGTTAGGATTTTTCTCCGAAAAGCCAACCAACTGAAAATTGTGACTTTGGTGGGTACCATCGGCTGCCAATGGATTTTGCTGGGAATGACGATCCAAGGCCAGGAAAGAGATCTCGAGTCAATTCCTTATAGCAGAGGCTGAGAAGGCATCCTCCTGCAAAGTGGATTACCTTCGAATCGTATTTGACTCTGTAATATTGGATTCTAACTGAATGTTCCTTTTTTTTCCATTGAAAGTGATTTCAGAGAGGGAATTATATTTTCCATTTTGATTTTCTTTCCTGTGAAACTGAACTATGGAGGCGTTAAGCTGTTGAGATTAATTAGGTTTATGGGGAGCTCCATGTTTAGTTTTTTTTTTTTTTTGTGTGGATAGACTTGTGATAGTTCATTGTGATTTATTAGGGTTTGCAGTGTTATAATTGTGCTTAATGATGTTTTGCAGAGGACAGGCTTCGGTGAAGCTGTGATCTTTTGCCCATTAATCCGGCAATGGCAGATTCAGGAGAATCTCAACAGCCTGAACAAGGTATTGATGCTCACTCTTGAACCGTAGTTTCTGCTTTGATTTGCTTTGTTCGCATTTTCTTGGGTTCTTATGATACATCTTTTCGCCTTCTGCTGTTCTGCAGTATGCAACTTTTTCAGAAAGCCAACTAAGGGGAAGAACATCAGGAAGAGAGCAGTAGAAGACGATGATGCCGAGGATCCAAAAACCGACAGCTCTTTCTTAAACAATCAGAATAAGGTGCCAAAGTCTGATAACAAGCTATACTTCTCAACAGGACCTTCCAAGAGCTCAAAGCCATCTGATTCCAACTCGGACAACAATGAGAAATCCATCTTTCAGTTTCAGTCTTCAAAGGAAATTCAGGTACAAAATGACAGTAGGGCAACAGCAACTCTGGAAACCGAGACAGACTTTGGAAGAGATGCAAGGGCAATACGTGAAAGAGCTCTTAAGAAAGCAGAGGAGGATCTGAAGGGTAACAAAAAGATTTCTTCAGGCGGCAATGAGAAGCTGTACAAAGGAATTCATGGGTATACAGATCACAAAGCTGGATTTAGAAGAGAGCTAACGATCGCAAGTGAGAAAGCTGGTGGATCACATGGGCCACTTAGGGCATCTGCACACATCAGGGTCTCAGCAAGGTTTGATTATCAGCCGGATATATGTAAAGATTACAAAGAGACCGGTTACTGTGGTTATGGAGATTCTTGCAAGTTTATGCATGATCGAGGGGATTACAAGTCTGGATGGCAAATGGAGAAGGAGTGGGATGAGGCAGAGAAGGCAAGGAAGAGGAAATTAGCTATGGGTGCGTTGGCCAAGGAGGAAGGTGAATTTGATGAAGCCAATGATGATGACGATGATGATGACGAGGATGCGCTGCCATTTGCATGTTTCATTTGTAGGGAGCCTTTTGAAGATCCTGTTGTGACCAAGTGCAAGCATTACTTCTGTGAACATTGTGCTCTAAAGGTACCTACCTACTCATCTCCCGAAATTTAGAATCATGATCATCAATTCTTTTGCCAAGTTCTATGTTTAGCTTGCAATTCTGTAACGTGCGTAACATTCACTTATTGTGTTTTCTTCTGTCTTTTTCTTGCAGCATCATTCCAAGAACAAGAAATGCTTCGTCTGCAACAAGCCGACGCTGGGTATTTTCAACACTGCTCATGAAATACGCTAGAGGATGGCAGAGGCGAACAAATGATCATGCTGGCTTGCTGCAGATGCTGTATCGGCTGATCACTTTTTGAGTCCCTGACACGAGCTGTTGCATCTTCCCGGCTCATGACACTTCGAGCAATTTCATTTTAAGAGAGTTATTAGTGATCTAGTAGGACACCATCGCATTGCGAGTATACCATGTAATCAAAAAGTTGATCTGCAGGCGTCTGGAGTCCTTATTTGCTTGTATTTTGTAGACAGTTCTTTTCATGTCTACATTGATACGATTGCGAATTTCATCCTCCAATTAAATTTCAACCAAATAGGTGCATGAAAGATCTTAAGGGGTTGTTTGGATTAGGAAATGTGGGTAGGGATTTTGTCACAATTTCTTGTCATTAGATATTGTCACAATTTTTTGTTTGGATAGGAAAATGAAAATGAGAGATTTGAGTCACTAGGAATTTCGAAAATCCTATCATTAGAGAATTTAAAATAGCTGATGGACCCCAGATTTTTTGAAATCTCTGCCTTTTTTCCAACTTTCCTAATTTATCCCTCCTTATTTTTTGTTATTACTTTCTTACCCTCACTCTTTATTCAACGACCCACCACTTCCAATTGTCAAGAATCAGTTGCTCCCAATAACTCGAGTTGTTGGGAGAAGGTTCTGCTGGATCTTATACCACTCTCTAACACGCCCCCTCAAACGAAAGCCAATCCATGGGCTTGAAGTTTGCACAGGCCTACCATACCTTGTGCTTTAATTAACTGTTAATATTGAGGGTCGTGGAGATTCGAACACACGACCACTTGGCCAAACCAGCTCTGATACCATGTCAAAACCAGTTGCTCCCAATAACTCGAGTTGTTGGGAGAAAGTTCCGTTGGATCTTATACCACTCTCTCACACCAATCTCTCTTTCCCATCTACATCTCTTTCTTCCCTCCCGATACGAGAAGCTGCAAGCAGAGTTTCAACCTCACATCGTTGGCGACTGTAGCGGAGATAAACCTAGCGACGTCGGCGACTGCAGCGGAGTTTTACCAACTCCGATCTACACCGACGTCGGCGGTGCCTTGAAGTGCGTCTGATCTCCATTTTCTATCTCGCCAGCTTCGCATGGGATTTGTGCTTTGGACTCAACGAACTGAAGCTTGGAATCGGTTTAGGACTGATTTGGTCTCAGAGATATGTCAAACTCGACCTGCTAGATTTCGAGCTACGTCTTAAGTTTGATTCATTATTGTTTGGCTGTATTCATTAAATATTGAGGACTTGTTCAGTTGTAATGGTTAATACATGTTCAGTTGTAATTCAAGGTAGTTGTTTTGACAAGTAGACAAAATTGGGATCCCCTCTTTGCCCCTCCTTTTTTGTGTTAGTGTTTTCACTTCTGAAATATTACTACTCTCAATTTTGGATTGTGAAAGAAGTTTAAAGTTTTAGATGAATCCCATGAATTTATCTGAATATTGGATCATGGCATAATAGCTTTTCTGTGGTTTTAAACATTGCTGTTTAATTTGAATGGAGGCTGTCGTTCGGCGCAGTTGGGTTGTTATTTAATGAATGCCTATTTGATCGCAGACTCGCAGTGTTTGATCCGTCTATGGACCAACTTTGGCTTTTTATCAGTGATTCTCATGGCTAGTAGTAGTCTCAATGATTGATTTTTGCTTTGCTGGGTGCAGACTGTAGATGTTCAGGAAAGCCTGATTTGTAATGGTATTATTGATGAATATATATACACAGAGAACTCAACAGAAAGCTATTCCTACTCCCCACTAACAGCTATTCCTATTCTCCACTAACGTGAACTAAGGAAATAGAACAACAGAATGTTAACAGTAATAATGTGGGGAGAAAGAAGTGTGAAGATAGTTCGAGTATATTTCTCCCTTATCACGCCCACGCAAGTGGAACCTCGGAGAGGTGAAACTTGGAGCAGAATTTGCTGAATGACTATCGTGTGAGGGGCTTCGTAAGAACATCCGCAAGCTGATCAGTTGCTGGAAGATAGCGAACATGGAGTTGTTGCTTGTTGACCCGATCACGAACAAAGTGGAACTCAATCTTAAGATGTTTGGACCGTGTATGGAATACCGGATTGTGAGCAAGATATGTTGCCCCCAAATTGTCACACCATAGAACAGGAGAAGATGTTGGTGATTGGCCGAGTTCGACGAGTAGTGCCTGTAACCAAATGACCTCCGATGCTAGAGTAGTAAGAACCCGGTATTCGCATTCGGTGGAAGACCGAGCCACCGCCTTCTGTTTCCTAGTCGACCAAGACACCACATTCGTTCCATAGAAAACAGCAAACCCAAAGATAGATTTCCGGTCCTTTGGACAAGAGGCAAAGGAAGCATCGGAGTAGCCATGTAGCTGTGAATGAGAAGATCGTTGGAAGAGCAGACCTTGAGTGATTGTGCCTTGAAGATATCGCATAATCCGTTTGACTGCTGCCCAGTGAGCATCCATGGGTGAATGCTGGAACTGTGAGACATGTTTCACCGCGAAAGATATGTCGGTCCTAGTGAAGCTCAGGTACTGGAGACCACCAACAACACTTCTGTATAAACCCGGATTTATCAAATGGCGGAGACAAGTCTGACCCACTTTGAATCAATTGATCAGGTGTGCAGGGTGTAGAGATGGATTTTGCTTGAGCCATCCCTGATCGTTCCAAAAGTTCCATAATATATTTGCGCTGATTGAGAATCAAACCTGCTGGTGTGTAATGAACCTCGAGGCCGAGAAAATAAGATAGGCGACCAAGAGAACCGTCGGGATTAGTTTTCTCTGCAAAAACCCACGTATTAGAGGAGAACATTACAATCAGATGGGGCTGGAACCAAGTTCCAAGTATGATTCCTGACGAGAGCATCGAACTCATTGACCATAGCAGCCCTCCAGCGGGGCAATTTTAGAGCTTGAGCCGTCGTGGAATGTGTACCAGTGGGAACTGCTGCAAGATAATGGCGAGGTTTCAGCTTGCCAGTCTGGGTACGAGTGACCATCCGCCATGGAGTTGGCGGGGCTGTCGATGGGACAATGCGGGGGGGGGGGGGGGAGTATTAAATGGAGGGCGACTGGTGAGGGATGAAGGGTTTGGGATTAGGGGTTTGTTGGGCGGGGAAGTAGTGGAGCGGTGGGCAGGGAAAGGAGAAAGAGGAGACGAGGTACGAGCACGAGGGACAGGGCGACGATGATACTGAAGTAGAGTCGGTGGAGCGGGGTGGGGGATATCGCGGCGGTGGCGATATTGCAGTAGAGGTTGAGAGGGGAGGGAGGTTGGTTTTGCTGAAGCGGGTTGGGTTGTGGGAGAGGGCGGACTGGTCTGGGTAGGTTGGGTTGTGGAGGCAGGATGGGGAATAGTGGGCTCAAGTGTAAAAGAAGTAAGGAGTGGGCCTGGGGAAACTAATGGGCTGGGCTCAGATAAGAGGGGTGGATGAAAAGAGGGAGCAGGGGATGTGGGCTGTGTGGGTGAGGAAGGAAGCGAAGTGGGCTTGGGAAGGTGGATGATGGGCTCAGTGAGTAGGGTGGCGGGCTGGGAGTAAGGTGAGGTAGATGACGGGCCAGAAGAAGTCTTAGCGCGGGGAGCAGAGGGGAATGGGCTTGGGAGGTTAATGCGTGCAGAGAGAAAAAGATCGGAGGAAATAGAGGTGGTTGGGTCGGTGGGGGTATCCTTGTAGAGAAAGACTGATTCATCAAAAAGAATATGTCGACTGACATAAATGCGGTCAGTGGAGCGATCAAGACACCGATAACCTTTATGTAAGCCACTATAACCCAAGAAAACACAGGGAGTGGAACGAGGTTGAAGTTTGTGAGCAGTTTGAGGACGAAGCCAAGGATAACATAAACAACCAAAGACACGAAGGTTTTGAAGATCGGGCTATTTATCAAACAAGATATGGAACTGAGAGTGATTTTGAAGAAGAGGAGCAGGAGTGCGATTGATGAGATAACATGCAGTATCAAACGCAAGAGACCAATACTTGAGGGGAACATTCGCTTGATGTAACATAGCGAGACCATTATTAACAATGTGACAATGTTTCCGCTCCACACAACCATTTTGCTTGGGGGTATAGGGACAAGAAGAATGGCGAACAATACCATTTGCCGCAAGATAAGAGGATAAGGCCTGATATTCACCGCCCTAATCAAATTGAAATGTTTTGATGGGAAGGCCAAAGAATTTCTCAACAAGTTGGCGAAATTGGATGAAGACATTAAGACGTTGGGATTTATAACGCACAAAATACACCCAGCTGAACTTACTATAATGCTCATAGAATAAGACATAATAGGATTGATGATCATAAGAAAGAATAGGAGCAGGGCCCCAAAGATCACTACAAATAAGTTCTAAAGGCGCATAGGCGCGATATTGTGAAGAAGAAAAAGGTAATTTGTGAATCTTACTAACAGAACGACCATGGCACAAAGAAGCAGGACTATCATGGTATTTTATTGAATGAGTAGAAAAAAGGTGTTTAACGGCACGGAGGTTTGCATGACCCAACCGTTGATGCCAGAGATCAAGAGAGGCAGTGAAGACTCGAGGAAGAGTGCGACTTTGGATATGGAGAGGCAGTGAGTAGAGACCATCACGAGCAGAACCACGTTAGAGCTCATCCTTCGTGCGGCGATCCTTGATCACAAAATATGTATCAAAAAATTCGATGGAAATGGGATTAGAACGAGTCAAAGAACTCACTGAGAGAAGATTTTGAGGAGCATTTTGAACACGAAGTATATTATCAAGAGCATAGGAATGATTGGAAAGAAGAGCGTGAGAGGAACCAGAATGAGAGATGGGTAGGCATTTACCATTGCCAAAGGTGACTTGATCAGGACCAGTGTATTCAGAATGATGAATCATATTACCCAAATCGGAGGTAAGGTGGTGGTTTGCGCCAGAATCAAGGAGCCATTGTTGCGAGGACTGGGCCGGGTGAGAGGATTGGGCGAGATGAGAGGCTGGTCCAGGGTGATAATTGGACTGGGCTAGGATAAATGGGCTTGGGCAGTGTGGGCGCATATGGCCCTTCCCCCCACAATTGTGACACACCATCAGAGATGGGCTGGAAGGCCCAGCCCCTAACAGACCAGAGGAACCGGGCCGAGAACCACCATAATTGGGCCGAGCACCTACAGCAACAGAGTTAGAAAAATGGGTCGGTGGGAAAAACCCTCGACCACCAAATCGAGCTCCTCTACCGTGAGAGAAGCGGCCACCGCTGCGCCCCCCACGAGCAGAATAAATATTCTGCGGAGGCGATGCATCTACAG